AAAAATTAAAGCAATAATTCAGTCGGGGATTGTTCCTGGAGACTCCAGCAGCAACCTTCTGTGCTGGCCTGAGGAAATCTTCCTGTTTTAGTGAGGAGGGAGGGATGAAGGGGGAAGAAAAGAATATAAATTTATTACCACTGAACTATACACTTAAAAATGGTAAAGATGGTAAATTTTATATGTAGCTTTAACTTCAATAAAAATGTATTAAAAACATGAAAACCAACTATAGAGCAGCATTTCCCTCCTTGATTTTAAGATGCATTTCTTCAGATCCTAAGGATTCTGAAGTTAAGATGAACATATAAACCAAACTCTAAAATCAAATGACAAAAAACATCCTTACCTATTTCTACACAGAGGAGTAAGTTGGAATATTGCTTAAATGGAACATAAATTTTAAATCTGGTAATTCTTCAACTGTCTCCCAAAGGACTGTACCATGATAGACCATGGAGAAGAAAAGTGATCATACGCACAGAAGATAGATCATCACTACCAAGCAACACAAATGCCAAAACACAGAGAGCAGAACGCGGAATTTCAAAACTAGCAGAGATGAGTGTGGCCGATTCACGGATCAAACAGGACCATGATTCAGATATTGAACGTGTCTGTTACAATTTCTGGTTGGCTTTCAAGAGATGCTCTTTGACTTCTAGGTATACAAAATTCAATTACAACAGTAAAAGTATGCCTTTAACCAAATAAAAAATGTAGAAGAAAATGATATTCTCTAAAGACCTCAAAATGTCACTATTAATATAAAGGTGCTACAGAATGAAGGTCATGAGTGCATGTTGTGAAAAGCATGTACTCATGATGCTACCATGCGTGACTATGAAAGGTCAGAAGTTATTCAGAGCAGTCTATACTCCCGGTGTGAAGTCAGCTTAGTAAGTATGCAATACAAAAAAAATAGTAAAGAAGTAAACTGACAAATACATCATACTTTTGTGTAAATTTATTCCAGTCTTTCTTCCCCTCTACTCCCTCCTCTAGAAAAGCTGTTAATAGACCAGTGGTTGATCAAGAGATCAACAAGGTTTTCTGTGGGAAGGCCTTAGACATCCAAGTACCAGAGTCTGAATTCTAACAGACACAGATCTTCACTACCTATGAAACTCTCTCATTTGCCATTCAAACAGAAGCGTCCTTGGGATGTCTGCTTCAAACCTAAGGAAATGGAGGTGTTAGGATGTGTCATAAGGAGGTTGCTTACCTCTTTCCAGTACTTCATCTTTATCTTGAGAATGTACCCACATCATCGAAGTGACTTTTAGGAAGCACAGCAGACAACAGTTTAGGAATTATTTGGTCTTGGCAAAATTCATATGTGCCGTACTTTGTTCTCTCAAAGATAACATGCCTGCCCTGTCTATCTGATCGGGTGATGGTAAAACCCTAATGAGAAAACGTAAGAGAAGGCCTTTTCCAAACTATAACTACTATATAAATGCAATTTTTCACCTGCATCATCACAAGGACACAATGATTTATAACACCAAATTTTAACACCAAAGTCATCTTTTAACCACTATGCAGTACCATGGAGTAAACTTCTAAAAATAAAAAAAGCACAAAGGCATCCTGTGCTACTCAAGCTTAAAGATGCAGACTACTGTTGCAGCCTGATGGGTTCTTCTTGCCCGCTGCCTAGAAAAGCCAATGCATTGAAAACAGCAGGTATTACAGCAAAGAGCGGTTAATAATCATAGGGCCAGCCAACTAGTAGGACAGGAGGTATTTCTCAAATACGCCTCCCCAAGAATTTGGAGGCTAGGGTTTTTTAGGGTACTTTGGCAGGCAGGGAGCTGGGGAACTGAAATCACTGATTGACCGAGGATGAAATCACAGCGGTGTCTAAAACTGTCTTCACACAGCTGAGTCAGTTCCTGGGAAGGAATCTCGGGACCAGGTGGCATCTCGTGGACTGCCAAAACACTAAATCTGAAAAATACCTCGAAGACCAGTTCTTTAGATTTCACAATAGTGATGTTATCTATAGGTGTAGTTGGGGAAGTTACACACTTTGTGAGCCCCAATTACATGATTCTGGGGCAGTCAGCAACTTATGGACAAGCAAGCTAGTCAATGGCAGGTCACTGTTTAACTCTGCCTATTCTTTAGCAAAGCCCAACCCCCTACCATAATTCTAACCTTGTGACCTCTTTACAAATACAGTTTCAATTTTTAAACATGGAGGGGATCCATTCCAGGAAAGGACCACTATGGCCTCTGCACAAGAATGATCAAGAGCAGTTTAGCCAAGTAGAAGCAACATGGAGTCAGTTAAGTCAGATTCCCGTTGCCACTACAATTTTTGCAAAAACTGTTTCACTATTAGGTTGCTGATTCCATTCTAATCTATGAGTTGCTTCAAATCGTCCATGACTTAGACTCCATCTAAGGGCTTATTCTCAACTTTTGAGTGAAGTATCAAGTGTTTACTTGTTCTTACTAAAAACACCGTCTATTCAAGTATCCACCTTTTTTTTCTTTTTAAACTTACTTGGTCCAGTGATTTCTTTTCAGTCAAAGGAACATGTTTGTGCAGAGTTCACAGCAAAAGCCCATCTTGCAAGAATCTTCCCTGACCCTCCCTGGGTCAGGCTTCGTAACCGCCTTTAATATCAGAAGGCCCGACACGTAACTTCTGCCACCCCAGCTGAGTGTGTGACTCAGCATTTAAAACCCCGACTGTTTTTTCTTTTTCAAGGAGGCCAACTATTTTGCAACACAAACACTTGTTAAATGGAGTTAATCCATCAACTACTACAAATTTCACTTAAACACAGATTGGACAAATATGTTTCTTCACAAGCCTGGAGAATTGTTTTCAGCCAAGACACCCCAAGACGGTACAGATGGGGAGATCAAACCTTCCCCCGAAGGAGTCCTGCAGCTGAATCTGGAAGTCTCTGGAAGATCGCTAGGAGGCGGCAGGAGGCCTGGGCTCCTGGCCCACAGATAAGAAAAGAAAATCTCTTCCTGGCCAAACTAGAGCCCTTCAAAAGCATGAAACTCTCCCAATTCTCCCAGAATTTCCCCTCTCCTATGCACAACAACAAAACACACAGGTGCCAAATGCTCCCATCCTAGAAGGCAAAGAAACTACAACCCTCTGCTTTGATAAAGAGTCATCAAAGGTTGGGACCATTCAGGGTTTTATTTTCCAAACTCACTGCTGGCCTCGAGGAAGTATGACACCACCATCCTAAGCACAGGGCAGCTGTTCTTTTTTGGCTGGAGTTCAGTATAAACCTTACAAATGTTCTGCTAACTTTCTCTCTCTCTTTTTTAAAACAAATAACAATTTTTTTAAATGCCATAGTCACTTAACTCCCAGCCTAAGGTTTTCACTATAAAGGTTTTCCTGCAGGACGGAGAAAAATATGTATTCCTAATATATTTCTGAGCCAAAAAGATGCTAGTAGGTTATTCTAACCAGAGAAATATAATGGAATAAATAATTAGGCAGATTGAAAATCAATGGCTAAAACAGTTCGAAAGAGTCAGTGAATTCCAATGATCTCTGAAGTATTAACAGACAAAAATCTAGCAACAAAAAATGTACTTTTCAACAGAGGCCTTCAGTAGTATAGCCACTGAATATACTTTTATTTAGGAGTGAGAGTCAGATATCAGAAGACTTCCCTTTCATTCCAAAATTGTGGCCCATTATAAAGATACCACAATGGCTATATTTTACTCATTATTCAGCTGTCCTAGCTATAAATTACCTATAACCAGCAGCATGTACGTTCACGCCATGAAATGTCCCAAAGCGTGGCATCTGTCTTTCCTCCCGTGTTTCCCCATTACAGATTGAAATATGCGCAAGGGTTGGATGCTGGCAGTGCTTTCAAAACGAAAATGAACCTTTCACAGGGCAAATTAATGTTCCTTATGAGTTCAGTGTGTGTATTTGTGACAGACCCACACACAGATCAATACATTCAGGAAAAACTAAAGTCATTCTTAAGCCTTTGGAAATTCTTGGGAAATCAATAGACTCATAAGACCAAGAGCGGGAACCTAGACTTGGTTTATCAAACCAAAGCTGACAAATCCCTTACGGAGTCTGGAAGCGTGGAGTTCCCTCCCTCTACATGTTCACTTCCCTTCATTTTTACCCTTGTAGCTGCCATATAATTGCCAGACCATCACATCACCTGCTTAATTTCCACCTTGTACACACTAAGAACTACATGGTAATCCTAATCTACTGTGCATAAAGGCCTTGATTCTCACTGACTTACTAAACTGACCCCTAAATACTAAGCAAAATTCGAGGTCACTGGCTTCTGTGTATTGACTTCTTCTATACTAACTACTCTAAAACTTCATCCCTCAGCCCTTGCAGTCCTCCAGCAATCATTCCATGGAAGTTTTTCTGTATTGCTAGGCAGCTCCATGCACATGCTTCACTGCAGTTCTTTTGTAAAATGGTCTGGCCTTGTTTCAGGAAACAAGAATAATACAGACATGGAAAAAGTCTATTGCTCCCTTGTATCCAAATGATAAAAAAAAAAAATCCATCACACACAAGCTTATTCAAAGATACACGTGTGTATGTGTATCTTATGTGCACAAATACAAAGCCTGTATTCACTGGAATTATTACCACTTACAAGCATCATATGATTTTAATGTATGAATTTACTTTAGCCACCCTCACCTGTCATTCCAAATGAGGACTAAACAATAGTGAAAACATTTTATCCCTAATAAATGATGGAGTTATCTGATCACAAAGGATGCTTATAATAAATACATTCGCCAGCTTTCTTAGGAAAAGATAGCCATTTGGAGAATCAAATAGCAAAAGATCTCACCACCTAAACACTCCCATTTAGAACACCCACCTCATCGTACTCACACGCTGCCTCTGAGCTCCAAGTCACCCCGCACAGACACAGTTGGGGTTATTGTCATGACAAAAGGTGGGAAACGGGGGCCAGCCCCACCTTTGGGGCTTTCTCGAGCCTTCATACCTGTGCTGATGCTCCTGTAAGACTTGATAAATGCTGATAAGAAAAGTTTGGTTTTTAAAACTCCCCACAACACAGTCCTTGTAGATGCGGAATTCTGCAGCCGTCACCGCCTCACCCTCAGGAATCTGGGATAAGTTGAACTTGAACTCTTTGTGGTGTCGCTGACGAGGGGAGAACTCCTTGTCGTACTCCACTATAAGATTAAACAAGAGAGAGTGACAACTATTGTTACTTGACTAAGTGCCACGGGCTCACCTCACCAGTTTCCCCGTTTGACTTCACACCTGGATTACCAGTTACCCACAGCTTATTCGGGGGATCGGCTAGTGAACAGATCACTGGTTGGCCCATGAGGAGGAGATGAAAATCCTTCATGCTACCCGAGATTAAGCAAAATTCTTAGATTTTATTTAGTTTAAATACTTCCGCTTGTATACTTATTTGAATGAATTTGCATAGAGAGAGTTATGAAAATTCTTGGCTTAAAAAGTTTTCTCATCTGCAAAAATGGGAAGAATATGACTTCACAGGAAAAGGTGTGAGAATTAATGAAGCAATGAAGAAGAACCCGTCTGCCCATCCTGGCCCCGTTATGCCCTCCTGGCCCCCTTTCCTCCCAGCTACTCTTCCCTCCTCAGGCTGGTTCACGTGTCACCATCAGCAGTCAACATAACCAGGGACAGCCCTGAGCTGAATGTTGGTGGGGATGGCTGAGGGTGGGGAATGGGGGTAGGCAAAGCATTGTGCCTCGGCCTGAAGTGTAAAGGGTCTTCACATTTTGCTTGTTCAGTGGAAATGTTTATGCCTTCCTCCTACTGGTAGATCCTGAAGGCCTCATGCCTCTGAGCGGGGGGGACTCTCCACACCGAGAAGTTGCTGGAACCCCCATTTAATCTGCATGTAGATGCCACGAAGATGTGGAAGGAAATCACCAACAGAGCCACTGCCATTTTCTCACAGTTTACATTGAAAGAAAGAAAAAACTGCAGGGAAAGGATAGACTCTAAAAGGTTTTTTCATATGGAATCAACCTATTGTGCAGTGAAGGATGAATGAAGAAAATGTGGTATGTGCATAAATGCATTTGTATTTGGTCTTAAAAAAGAGGGAGATTCTGCCACTTGCAACATGGATGAACCTGGAGGATGTTATGTGATGTGAAATAAGCAAAGCACAGAAAGACAATCACTGCACGATCTCACTTATATGCAGAATCTGAAAAAGTGGAACTCACAGAAGCAGAAAATAGAACGGAGGTTACCAGCAGCTGGGAGAGGGGAGGAGTACCGGGGAAAGGGTCAAATAGTACAAAGGTTCAGTTATGCATAACGAGTGAAGTCTGGAGACCTAACGTACGGCATGATGACAAGAGTTAATAATGCTGTATTGTATACTTAAAATTTCTAAAAGAGCAGATCTTAACATTCTCACCACAAAAAAATAAAGCCGTGTCTCTGTGAGGTGATAAACACATTAATTAGCTTGATAGTGGTAATCACTTCCTAATGTATAATCAGTATATCAAATCACATTGTACCCCTTAAATACATACAATATTTGTCAATTACATCACAATGAAGCTAGAAAAAATACGTTTTTAAAATAAAATCTTTTTCTTGCATGAAGACAAATGAGAAATTGCAATTATTGATGATTTTTCAGTCAGCTTTTAGATGTCTATACAAAGTCCTGTGTGAGAAACGTGATATCAAACTTCAGATGCCTCACTTATAATTGCTGTAAAAGGAAAAAAGGAGTGCTCTGCTTCCCACCATAAACCCTTGACTCTTCTCCCCAGAGTCAGGAACACTTTTGCCTTGTTGTTCTGTTCGTTTTTCCTTAATGGCAACCAAAGTGAAATCTCATGAGCAAATTAATCCTTTTAGCAGAGTTTTCCCAAGGTTTGTGGGTAGAAAAAATAATTATTAGCTACCTCCAACTTCCCACTTTCTCTTACACATGTTGTTTTTCATAATTACCAGAGAAAAGCTTTGGAGATTTAGCTTCTTTAAGAAAAAAAAAAAAAAAAGGAAAGAAAGAAAGAAAAGAAAAGCTAATAACTCCCCAGAAGAATCTAAGTCCTCAATGGCATTTGCAGAAGCTAAGTTAAGCCATCTATAGGTACAAGATTTTTTAAAAAGAATTTCTGAAACTGCCATTAATTACACAACACATTTTTTAGATTCGAGACCTTTTTTTTATTTTGAGGTTAGAAAAGAATAAGCTTTGGCTTCTGTAAAAGCTTGAATATAAGCAAAAAGACGTCCAGCCAGAAAAGTAAACCACAGTTTAGCCCCAACAAGAGAGCAGGTTTTCTAATTAGTGGCTACGCATGAAAAGCAATATTGTTGGGAAGTTCACCCAAGGACACCCACACATGACGGTGTATCACTTTTCCCTAAAACCGATCTGCCTTTTAAGTTTGATATGTTATCATCGTTGGTTAAAAAGTGAATCAAATCTGATTTTCCAAAGAGACTTTCTAAAAACAGTCACACAGCTTTTCTTCAAAGAGCCTTTTGGAGGCCTAATTGTAATATTACTAAATGAAAATAATATTTTAAGATTCGCTGGAGAGCATGTATAAGAATTCCTCAAAGAAGTCTTTCAATAAACTTCCTTACTATAAACCTTGAGAAAAAATATAAGAAATAAGATGTAAGACGGTAACTTTAAGATATTTCAGTTATAAGGAGCAGAGAAAGGGGCAGACATTTTTAATAAAGGAGAAATGTGGTAGCTGGTCTTTTGAGAGGTATGCCATCTCCCGTAAACCACCCCTCCCAGCATCCGTGCCCGTGGGTGGTCTGCTCCCTCCGGTGACTCTAAGCTGGCTCTGTGGCTGGCTCTATGACCTGTTTTGGACCCACAGAACGAAAGTCTTCAACAGTGGTGCTGAATGACTTCCAAGGCTGGGTCATAAGCTTTGAACTTCCTTCCACTTAGGCTTCTTGGAATGCTTGTCTGAGGAAAGACAGCTGTCATATAAGAAGTGTGACTACTCTGAAACGTCCATGTTGTGAGGAAGCCCAAGTTAGCCATGTAGCAAAGCTACACAGAGGGGTGGAAGAGGCGAACAGAGATGGGGGGTGGGTGGGAGAAGAGAGAGACAGAACACACAAGCTGTCCTGCCTGTCCCCAGGCACCCCAGCTGAGGCACCAGAAGTGTTATGAAGACGCCATCTTGGATGCCCTTTGCCTGACTCAGCCCCAGCCACCACCTGGCTGCAGCTGCACAAGAGACCTTGAAGAACCACCTAGTTGAACCTGGTCATTCCACAAGACTGTGAGAGACGGTAACTTGCTGTTGTTTTAAACCGCTATGTTTTGGGTGACTTGTCACACATTAATAGGCAACTAACACAACAAGGGAAAGGGGGACTGGAGGACAAGAGGAGGGAGGAGAGAGAAGGGAAGTCTAACCCTGCCAGGAAGGGGATAAATTGCATGCAACTCTTAAGGATAACGATTGTGCAATGCTGGGAGGCAATATGTACGACTAAGGAAGAATCTTGGCAAAAGCTCACAGATTTGAAGATGTGAGGAGATAAAGAATCTAAAAATGAGAAAACAGAAGCACAGTTCAAAGCATTCATTTTATTAGAACGTAAAATAGAACCCATTGCCTCATATGTGGATTTTCCAATTTTTCCTCTACCAAAACAATGTTATCGTGAAGCACTCTGAACTTTCTTTTCCTTTATCCTTCTTGGAAAAAAATGCATGGCTTCCTTAGTGCCATCCAAGAGACTCTGATTGCCACCCATCCCATTACTCTCTGGTCTTCTAAGCTGCTCCTGTGCCTCTTGCCTCAAAGCTATACCACCTTCCTCACTCTGCTCATGAAGTTTGCTCAGAACTCCTCCCTTCCCCTCACTTTTTTGCCTGCGTTTGAATTTACACAGCGCGTTTGCTAATGTCTCATAGGGATATAAGAAATAAATACAATTAGGTTACTGCCTATATATGCACTTGAACACCACAATGGTAAAACAGTAATGTTTCTAATGAGCTCAGCAATTCAAGCTATATGAGTCAAGACTCCTCAAATGCCAGACAGTTCAAGAAATATCAATGGGAGAGAAAGGGAGAGGGCTGCGTTCCAAATTCAGCCCTCAGTACCTACTTTATACCCATTAGCATTTGGCTTACTGATGATGGGGTCAGATGTAGTCACAATTAAGTCGTAGTCAAGAGTGTTGGTGACATGTCAAACTGTGACACTGGTGTTGAATTCTAGCTTTTCTTTTTCTTACCTATATGATGCTGAGTTAAAATTATATTAACATTTCAGTACCAGTTAAATGGAAATAATAACACTTCTAAAGATTAGGTGAGACAATCTATACTAAATAGCCAATGCCATGGTGTCAATGCCCAGTCAATGTTAGCCATGATCATCACTGGCTGTTATTTGAGAATCCAGGTTCTCGGAGCTTGGAGTATGTCTTTGCTGAGTAATCCAAATGTATTCACGAGTCTACAGATAGGGCTGACGGCTGCTCCCTCTAAATTAGCTTTTTCAATCAGAGTGAGGCATTCTGTGAAAGTGCAGTCAGTGAAATCTCACTGAGCATCAGCCTTGGTGGGTGGCTCCTGAATGCAGTGCTGTGTTCTCTGAGGCAATAATTCCTAGAATTTTTAAATTTCAAGGACCAGTCAAGACAGTTTTTGAAATGGTAATCACCTTACACAAGGTTATCTGCTTCTTGTTTGCTGTTTTTAAGGACAATAAAAACAAAACAACATATTGCATGCTCTAACTCTACCACTGCATTTCTAAAAGTCCTCTCAATACTAAATAAAATAGGGAGGACATAATGCACAAATGCGGCTTTATAAAACCCACTTCCTTCTCTCTTTTCTGCCTCAGACTAGACCAGTGGAAATTTCTGATCTGTCCTAGACCTTTGGCCAACATGTAGGAACAAAAGCCTTAAGGAATAAGAATCGCTGGTTTAAGATTTAAAATGTAAATTATATAATTATACATACAAAAGGATGTATGCAATTTATGGAGGTAATGAAGCATAATAATAAAGCATCAAGGAAACCATCACCCAACTTGAAAACCAGAGAGTGACTGAGACTGTTGTATTCTTTCCTGATCCTCTCCAACTGCTTCTCTCCAAAGGCACCTCACACCAGGAATAATGTTTATCCTTCCCTTGCCCTTTAAAACCTAACAATTCT